AAAGGCGAAAATTAGCTTATAGTTCACAATTTTAAATGGATGATCTCCTCAAAGGTCATCTCCAGAATAGTTGCTGGGGTATGACTAGACAGCTTCAAATTGTCTTTGGCAGGCTGTGTAAGCAGAATTTGTAAAGGAATATAAGCTAGGTTCTAGGAAATGAGCCACTGAGCCTGTAAATGGGAAGAATAAATGGGAATTGCAGGTCATCTTCAGCAGGCAAGTTTAAAGGGAATAGTACAAATGTAGAATTGAAAATGACCAGAAGGACCACCTTAAACCAGCTTCCAGCAGTTTGCACACACACCAATTAAAATATTCACAAGAAATGGCTGATTAGCCTCTTTTAAAAACCTGCAGAATTGGAAAATCCACAATCTCCTTAAGTAGACTGCCTATTGTGGCACAAATCATTGATTGTCAGAACATTTTGGCTTATAATTCAACTAAATTTTGATAATTGCTGCTTATACCCAGTATTTCTGGTTCTAGTTGCTGTGGGCTCTTGAAAACATGAATTCGAGCTGGAATTCTGAGTGGAAAACAAGACAAAATAAAAGCTGGCTGCTCTTGATTGCTTGAGGGGAGGAGGGGAAGGGGAAAAATGAACGGAACCTGTGGTCACACCTGCATGGCAGTATGTTTGGGTTTCCGCCTGAGAACATCCTGGTATATATAAATAACAATTATACGATTGTGACACTCATTCCAAAAAAATATATAACAGGAGTGGAGCAACAAGCAACCATACTTCAATTGAAAGATTAGATCACGGAAAGAAGGGCACCTCAAAAAACCAACAGTTAAAAGAATAGTAAGGCAAAGAAGGAAGCCCAGTGAATAAGAACAATACAGTAATGGATACAAGAGATGTAGAAGGTATTCTGACACACAGGAACCCAGAAGCAGAAGAAAATACTGTAAAACCTTGTGAAGGTTCTTTGCTCTCCAAGGACTTGGACATGTCATAATGTAATAAATGTATAGAGAATTAATTTATTACAAAACACATCCTCCCCAAATTACAGGGTTATCTCCACACTTCTAGGCTTTACAAGGTGATGTCGTCACATGAATATATCTTCGGTTCTTTAATACTTAGTCTTTTAATACTCAGTTCAAACTAAAGTCTCAAAGTCTTTAAAGTAACATACAGCTTTTGCCTTTCTACAAACGTTCTTGTACGAATTGGGATGAGGTGCTGTTTCACTGTTGTTGCTCCTTTTCTTATTGCTTCCAAGCTCCAGGCAGGACTCCTACCCGGATAGGCTGTTCAGCATAGCTTATGGTCCCAGCGGGTGAATGAAAGTCCTCTTGCCTGCTTGCCTCTGGCCAGTCTATAGATATCGCCTCCACTTCCTTGTCTAGGCTATGTGCATTTACTGGGTGGGGAAAGCTGCCCTTGGAGGGTTTGCACGTTCTTGAAAACACCAGGATATAAGTGTATGAGTGCATGTCCGAATGGATGACGGTAGTGCAGGGAAAGTGTTTCTGCCTGGATGCAGTTGCTTTTTCCAAAGCATAGGCAGCAATCCCAACTTCACTCCCTCTGCTAAGACTTCTGAGCAGAAAGGGGAAAAAAATACATTGCAGAACAGGAGGCAAATTAACAAATCCACAAGGGGCAGAAAGGATGCAATTGTTCCTTGCAAAATGGGTAGGAAAATAGATATGCAAGATGGTGACTCACTAGCACAAATGTGTTCAAAGTGAAACCAGAGGTTTAATATATATTCTCAGGTAGGAGCAAAGGTTATACAGCAATTTAATGCAGTGGTTAAGGCATCAAGTTAGAGACCAGGAGACCAAGCATGAAGCCAACTGGGTGACCTTGAGCCACTCTCTCTTTCAGCCCTAGGAAGGAACAATGGCAAAACATTTCTTAAAATCTTGCCAAGAAAACTGCAGAGATACGTCCAGGCAGTTGCCAGCGGCCAGCACTGACTTTTGATCTTAACCTGTATTAGCATTGTAGTCTCCTGGCTAACATGACATTGCCTTGTGCTAAATAAATAAGCACTGACTTGAAGGTATTAAAAAAAGGACCAAGGATCAGGGATGTCTGAACCCCTCCCAAAACATACCAAAGGCACTGATGATTTTTCAAATGTTCAGCATTGGGGGGGGGGAAGTGTTTCACAGTGCATGGGAACATGAACAAAGCATCTCTTATCAGATTGCTAAAGCAGCCATGTCTTTTCAGAAGAGAATGTGCTCTGAAAGCTGTTCCCAGATGGTTTGTCTTTACTTTGTAAAGAGAAAAAGGAAGATACATGGTCCGTAGACTAGCCAGCCTGCCATCAATACAAAAGAAACTGATTCTTATTTCTGGTGAAAAGATTCTTTTGCACAAAAAGGATACTGGAAGTTTTGCTTTGTCCTCCTCACTCTCATCTTCAACCTCAGTTATGATGTCTAGTTTTGGGCTCTGCACTTTAAGGATTCAGTGAAACTTAAACCAGGGTGAAAGAAATTGGGTCTGTCTACCATTGAAAAAAAGAAAACTGAAAGGCCATATGCTGACACTATTCAAATATGCAAAAGGGTATAATCCCAAAGACTGTTCTGTATCATCCCAGAATAACTAAGACAGAAAAAAAATGGATCCTTGCTACATGATTGCAATTTCTATCAGAACATTTAAAAAAACCTCCTAATCATAAGAGCCATTTGACAGGAGGATCCATTATACACCAAAATGATTGTCTGCCTTTCATTAGTACATGAGTATATTCGTGTAGAGGCTAGGCAGACATCTGATCTAGAGAATCAGATGTTCGGATTGGTTTAATTTGAATTTCTGTACTCAGCAGGACAGCCAAGTTTAATAATCTAGCTGAATATTTCTGATTCTGTCACTCTAGGTAATTAGTTCTTCAGTCAAACACTTCACTTAGATGTTTCATTCAAATACATTTTTAAATGAGACATTGCGGAGTATTCTTGAAATCCAGCAACAGTATAATATTTCTGACTAACTGATTTTGTACTGCAATATTTTATCTGAATCCAAACTTTTACTGCAGAATGACTTAACAGAGTGCATACATTGCCAATTTTAAATATAATATGTATACCGTTTTCCATCCAAATTCAAGCAGAAGCAGGAAATGATATATATGAGTTGAATATAGCCAAACTTTCTCTCAAACACAGGTTAATAGACTTTAAAGAATATATAAGCATGGAAGATTTGATTTGATTTATGGAAATAACCTTATCTAGCATCTTTCTGAGAAAACATTTTTTTTAAAAAAAACTACTTTGGTACTCCATTAAAGTTGCTTTCTGCTAAGTTGGAAATCAATTTAATAAGCTTGAATTAGAATGCCAGGGTGTTTTGGAGAATAGTACCTGATCACTTAGCTGATTCACTTCTCAGATTATTTTGTTAATTCAGTATTCCTTAGCTTGCTGCCCTCTAACATATAACTTTAATTTATAGAATTCCCAGAATAATAAGAGGATACCAGAATGAGAAACTTTGCCTTGGTTATTTAAAAAATAACTTGAGTGAGACAATCTCTGTACTACTGAGCTGTTTTAGCTTTAGCTTTATATATCATTTGGGACAGTTTAGCCCAAATGATATAGCTTAGTCCCAACTGATATATAATGCTTGAATAAGCACACCTTTAAAATACAACATGTGTGTGCATCTGTGCTGTGCTGTGAGGTACATGCAGGAAAACATTATGTACTTTAGAAATGGAAAGATAATACTTGAAATGAGGACACAATTCTAGTGAGGGAGCTTAGGTTTTAGGATTAAAACCATCCCAGTTTTTCCCAAGTGCTAGGAAGCTATTGCTTCATATCCTATCAGTGCTCCTTTCCCTGCTAAAGAAAAACAAAATTAAATCAATCTTGGGAGAATGGGAACTGATGGCAGAGGGCTCTCTCTAAGAAGAGAGATCTTTCAGAGGGCAAGTGATACATTTACACCAAAGTGTGGTGAATCATGATGAGACTCTAAAATATATTCCTTTATGGAAAGGAATGCTCTTTTGCACAGAGGAAGCATGTACTTCTACTCTCTGGTTTGTGAGAGGAAATGAGAGTGGTGGCTATATTTAAATGTGAACATTCATATCTGTTATTCAACACATTCCAAAGGCAGCAGTATGAATTCTAACCTATATATGAAAAATAAATATTTAGGGGATGCAATAGGAGGGTTGAGGGGAATTTGCAAGCATTCTGGTGTCTGTATCTGGCCTGTGCATTGTAAACTTTATTAAGCATTCTTTCCAAAATCTTGGGATTTAAGCATCCCAGTAGATTGTAGATATTTAAATTATTATTTAAAAAAATATTTTCATTTAGTATCAGTCTAGTGAGGGTATACATCTTTGAGCCAACAGATGCCATCTTGCTGATTCCTAATTTACATAATAGTACTCAAAAGTTTGTGGCAATGAAGTAGGATACTTATAGATTGGGAACTACTGATTCATGAAATGATGTAAAATAAGTATTTCTACTTATAAAAGGATGTCATCCAAGTCTCTGCCTGTGTTGTGAATTAAACAGCTATGAATTTACTGGGGATGTCCATTGATTTTTCTTTTACATTGCTAAATTATTTCACTAAATTCTGCTATGTTTGCTAGAGTTTGGATTTGCTTTATGTCATCATATGCTGGAGATGAATAAAATATCAGAATGTTATTGTTTATTGGTTTTAGCCAAGAGAGTTAAACAGAAATTCTGTTTTCCATCTGTTAGCTGAACTGGGAATATATGATTCTCCATTATATATTTCTAAATAAGAATTGGGATTAGAATGGAATTAGAGCAGGTCCCTGAATAACTGAGTAACTAAAACAGCAAACATCAATATGATGTTGCTGCTAATAATGTTTTAACATTAGAATATACCTATAATATAATAATAGGTGTTTAATTAACCATTGAATGAGCACATTGATCTTTGGTTATATTTCCTGCTAGTTTTCTTGCCAATTCCAAATTATAATCCTGCTTTCATGTCCCACCAGATGATGAAACATGCCTGGGATAATTACAAACATTATGCCTGGGGATTAAATGAACTGAAACCCATCTCAAAACAAGGACACTCGAGCAATTTATTTGGTAAGTAATATGTGCTTTCTATTTAATGACATCAGCTGCTTTACTATTTTGAAGCTAAAGATTACATTAGAAGTGGTGTTCTTGATTAGCTGGTGTGATATGTTATTGAAAATGTGTGTTTCTTTATCAAAGTTTAATTCTCTGGTTGTATCATGTTTACTGTTAAGAAAATTAGCAGCACTTGCAGGAAGAGTGAGAGGCAACGTTATTTTATGTTCTAAAGTTGGCAGAAAAATCTCTAACCTGTTATATCTTTCCCCTTACATATTTTGCTACAAGTTTTTATACATTCCCTATGCATAAGTAAACTTTAAATCAGCAAGATAATGCAAACAAAGGAATTGATAGAAACTGAGTTCCTGATAAGTTTTAATGATCAAAAGATTGAGCTCTTAACACATTCAAGGACAGGACTACATGCAATGAATGTATTTATTAAGATATAGGCACTTAACAATGTCTTAAATGTAAAAAGAAGAATTTTTAACAATGCATGTTTTTGATCAGGTAAAATCAGTCTTAGCTGAACTCCGTCTGAGAGACTTAATCATTTCACTGGTAGAAGAAATTATATGTTCAGATCATTCATATATTAAAAGACCATTTGCCAGAAAATGTTACCATGTACTACGCACTTGAACAAAATCTATGTTGAAGTACATAAAAGGTCAAAATGGTGGTGGATAAAGGGCTTTCCTAGTTTCTACTGGGCATCTTGAGTTATAGACTAGGTAAACTGGGTGGCTTCTACAGTATTGCTTCTTTGCAGTAAATAATAATAATAATAATGTTGAAAGGGACCTTGGAGGTCATCTAGTCCAACCCCCTGCTCAGGCAGGAAACCTTATGCTGTTTCAGACAAATAGCTGTCCAGTTTCTTCTTAAAGACTTCCAGTGTTGGAGCATTCACTGCTTCTGAGGCAGGTTGTTCCACTGATTGTTCTAACTGTCAGGAAGTTTCTCCTTAGTTTTAGATTGCTTCTCTCCTTCATTAGTTTCCATCCATTGCTTCTTGTCCTGCCTTCAGGCGCTTTGGAAAATAGCTTGACTCCCTCTTCTTTGTGGCAGCCCCTGAGATATTGGAACATAGTTATCATGTCCCCCCTCGTCCTTCTCTTCATTAAACCAGACATACCCAATTCCAGCAATCGTTCCTTATATGTTTTAGTCTCCAGTCCCCTAATCCTGGTGCAAACTACAATTTTTCATCAAAGATTTCATTCTCCCTCTGCTCATATGTCCAATTCCATGGGCTAAATTAACAAAATATGGAAGCAGTACCTTAGGGGGCTGAGTATCCATCAGAGGAAGCCCATTGACTGAGAGTATTAATAAGCATCTATGAGAATTCTAAGCATGCTTTCTCGATTTGGATTTCTGAAGGGACATCCAGTATCTGGGACAGCCTCTGTCGAGTCTGGGAAGCATTTAAGTGAGCACAAAACAGTTTGAGATGCACTGCATATTTGGCAAAGATATCTGCCAGTACATTTCTAATAGCATCAGAAATACTCCAATGAGACAGAGAATGCAGGGAAGAGCAAGGCTTCTAGGAGACTTTTTACCAAGGAGACATGCTTAATAGGCGAATCTAAATTAGTTAGAAACTGTCTCAGTTTCCATAAAGCTCAAATTATGCATAACTCCAAAGACATATCAAGAATCTACATAAATATTAGCAGATTTCCCTTTGGCTAATTTAAAGGCACATGTTAGCACATCTAGCTACTTGAGTCTGGCATTTAAGCAAGAGAGAAGAAATAGCGTGTGATATCAAAAAGCTGATGGCCCAGAGCAAAGATCCACAGATTAAAGGGCAGCAGCTACTATGCCCAAGCATGGAGAAAAAGCAAGAGCAATGAGATCTAACACATTTGCTGTAGCAGGCCAGTGATCTGTTTTGTTCCCTGTGCTTTGGTGTTGATAGATTGAGCAAAGGTACAGAGTTCATGGCCAAAGAAGGTGGAAGGCTTAAAGCAGTCGGGAATTTCTACAGCAAAAATAGAAACAAGCACAAATGTTAAAGCCAGAAAAGAGGATTTTGGAGCTTCAGAGCCGAAGTTTTCAGAGGAGTTGGTTAGCTCTGCTATGTTGAAAATCCACTGGCAGCAATAGCCCATTCTCCAAAAGTGTACACTTCTGCCACAGAAGTAGACAAGAGAAATTTAAAATGGGATCAATGTGAGAAAGAAGGCTTGCCTTGTGAAATACCGTGACCTAGATAAGGCACAGAGGTTTTTCAGAGCTACAGCTTGATGTTACAGACCTGGTCCTTTCGCAGCAATAACAGAATGTTTGTGTCAGTCTGGCAAGTTTCCAGAAGAAAGAAAGCCACAAGGAGATCATCAATATACTGAATTAGAGCAGAAGATACAGGACAAGATCAAACAGATTCTATAGGTACTATACATACAAAACAAAGGTGATTATTAACATGAATAGGAACAGAAAAGAAAAGTTTACAATTCTGGTAATTGAAAAGTTAGGAGCATATATACAAGAATGCTGATCCAGAATAGTATTGGGGTTTGGAAGCACAGGAAAGGTGGGTATCATACCGTAAGTCTATTTGTCATTCTTAGATGCTACACAAAGTGCCATTTATTACTCTACCACCATTTTTAAATGAGCAAGATTGAAGTGTTGCTTGTAGTGATTACAGTTATACCCTGCTTCAAGAATACGTCAGTTACTGGTTTAATTCCTTCCTTAGCTTCTGGGTTTAAGGGATACTGCATTTTCCTGGTTAATGGGGGGGGTGTGTGTTTGAATCAATTAAAATTTAAATTTTAACAGGCTGGACTGAAAGTATACACCCCATTTCATTAGGATGTTTTGTCCACAAAATATCCGTGACTTGCTTCAACTTGTATTCATCTAAAATATAAGGCTGGCTTTCCTCCCGAAGAGGCATTGCCAATAGAACCACTGTTGCTGCTTCATCCTGGGAAAGTATATCTAAACAAAGTCCATTTGGTGTGCAATATGTGATGGTTGTTAATTCGCAAAGCCAGTCCCAATTCTAAGCCCATTTACTACAGAGAAATATTGGGAATTCTGATATCCTAAGAGTAGAATAAAGAGCAGGAGTATTTAGAAGGGATAGTTTTTCCTCCTATAGTGCAATCAGCAAATGGCTCAGAGACAGAAATAGACAAGAGGAGGTGAGATGCTATTATTTTCACCCGCACACATCCTTGGGCTATTTTTTAGGAAAATTTGTTTCCAAAGCCCAGGATTTCCATAGGAGCAATGTGATCCTGGGGGGTTTGACCCTGAAAGGATAAGTCTGAAGGCTTGTTTCAAATGTTGTTGCTTGTTATATTTAGAGGTGTCCTTCCTTTTCCTTGTCTATTAGTTGGAAAGTGGAGAGCCTACAGCTGACTCACTTGAAGAGCCATCAGCAGTGTCTTTAGCTTTTCCTTTAGTTATCTAGAAACTTTGAGTTTGAGTGGCCGTTGTAATAATCTTATTAAGGTGTTCTCCTTCCAGCCCAGTAAGACATTTTAAATGCAACCTCTACAGAAATGTTACTATAATTTGGGCAAATTGCTTTAAGTTAGAGAGCCCAGGCTGCTGTTGGATCATAGTTCTTAAGCAATCCAGGAAATCAGCTGAGCCTTCCCCTTTTTCCTGCCTATACTCTGTATTTTGTGCCAATCTTTATTAAGGGGACAGATTATCAAAATCTAAAATGGTTTTTCTGTTTTCAGGGGGGAACCTTTGAGGGTGTTCCATAAGGCAAGCACCATAGTAGAGAAGGCCCACCTCTTGGGACTCACCAAGTGAGCCCCCCAGTTTGCAAATGTCACACAACATGGAGGTGTGCAAAGGCCTTCCTAGGCATGACTGCAACCTGCTCTTTGAGCAGGAGTGATAAATCCAGAAGGGTCTCCAGATTGCTTACTGTCTAGGACAGTGCAACTCCACCCAGAATCAAAGATGGAATAAGCATAACTGGCAGGTCTCAAAACCTCATCCTTATGTAAGCTCACCCAACAGCCTCATGTAGATGTTGAATAAGAGCAGAGAGAGAACCCTGAATTCTGCAGTGCCCCCATGCTCACATGATCAATATTTTTTAGATATTTGGCAGCCCACCTTTGGCACACTTTGTTAGCAGCAGGAGCAAGAAAATGGCAAAGATTAGCTGGGACAGCAGGACAGTTGAGGGCCAAAAGGACACAGAGGGGGGAGAGATAGGTGAGTGGGGGAAGTTGATGTAACCCCTGCAGTTGTAAGTGTAGTCGGGCTGCCAAGAACCCAACTTGTGATCACAGGAGCAACTGCCGCAACTGTAACTTTGAGCATGAGTCATAAGTTGGTTTTTTTTCAGTACTGTAGTAATTTCAAATAGTCATTGAATGAATGGTTGTAAGTCAAGAACTACCTGTATTTTAATTCTGGAATTGGGAAGAGCATATTTCTCTTCACCATGCCATATCCCCTATCCCCCTACAGCATTTTGGTATAGGTTTTGTGTATTTCTTTTTTTTTTATTTATTAAAAGTTTTTTAAATTTTACAAAACAAATCCCCTCCCCAAACCCACCCTCCCATACCCTCCCCCATCTCCCCAAACCTCCCTAACCCTCCCCTAGGCCTCCCAGAGTTGATTACAGGCTTATCCTAAATATTTCAAAAAGAAAAAAAAAAGAAACTTAAAACACATATGAATCCTAAACAAATCTGAATACCTTAAATTAAGTAGATTATCTTCTCTAAAAAAAATAATAATTAAAATCATTAAACACATTATATTATACTCTAAACTTTCTTTGAACATCTATACCTATAATATAAAATCTAATATAAATCATAAACAAATCTAAATACATTTAGTTAAACAAATTATACTCCCTCCAAAACACAAATTTAAACATTACTTGAAACTTAAAACATTAGAATAAACAAGTTAAAACTTAAAACATTAACATAAACAAATTATACTCCCTCCAAAACACAAATTTAAACATTACGTAAAACTTAAAACTTAAAACA